TCGCCCCTAAACCCGTTCAAGTGCCAGGTGCAAGCAGTTCTGAGGGCGGGCGCCCGCCAGACGCTTGAAGCGAGCCGCCATTCTCACCTAGGACCTTTCAAGAGGAACCCTAAACCCTAAACCCTAATCCCTAAACCCTAAACCCTAAACCCTAAACCCTAAACCCTGAACCCTGAACCCTGAACCCTAAACCCTAAACCCTAAACCCTCCCCGATGACCCATGAATACGAGCCCCGAAGGCCCTCAGACCCCGACAAGAAAAACCGCCATACAGCAGCCTACTATAGGGGTCGGTATCTTAGCTACTGCTAGTATTCCCTGATAATCCCTTCATGAGTATACTATAACAATCCGCCCAAAAACCCTGTCCATGTTTTTGAGGCTCCTATATTGCGGCCTTTCCGATCTTATCACACCCATTCTACTTGAACCCCTTCCGCCCGAAGACCATTGGTCGGCCTGCCGTCCTGGTAATCTCTGGAGCCCATCGCTTTCAGCTGGCAGAAAGGGAGTTTAGGGCTTGGAGTTTCGGGTTTAGGGCTTAGGGTTTGGGAGTTCAAGGTTTGGAGTTTAGGGTTGGGAGCTTAGCGTTCAGGGTTTTGGGATGAGGGGGCAAGATATTCGTGTTCAGACTTCGGGGTCAGGGAAGCCCTGCTGCTTCATGGCCCTACGCACTTGCGCCACCAGTCATTTTAGGGTTTAGGGTTTAGGGTTTAGGGTTTAGGGTTTAGGGTTGCCAAGTCTCTGAGTTGTGGTCTCTCATTTTTTGCAACTTGAAGCCTGGATCGGGCCAAGATGCCTGCTTTGGGCCCAACCTAAAGACCTGTCCCCCACGTTCGGGTGGCTACGTAGCCCTTATAGGGCCTGAGGGATGCGCGTTACACGCGAAACCGTAGGCCCCCCAAAACCATGCGGAAACCTTGCACAACCTCAAGCCTCGGCACAGCAAAGCCCTGTTTCACCCTGCATTTGTTTCGTTTCCGAAGCCTTAGATACCAAAACCCTAAACCCTAAACCCTAAACCCCAAACCCTAAATTAAGCCAACACAGGAGGAGGATGGCTTTGCCAAGTTCCTCGACCGATGGACCGCCCCGGGTGTTAAGGTTTTGGGTCTCGGGGCTGTTCAGGGTTTCGGATTCAGGGTCGGGCGTTAAGGGTGTTAAGGTTCCAGGGTGGAGGTTTGGGGTTTCAGGCATGGGTTTCTGGTTTGGAAAGGGTCTCGAGTTTCATGGCAATAAGGGTTTCGAAAGTTGCGGGCTCAGCGAGGTAGGAGCTTCGAGGGCAGCCTGTGGCAACCCAAAACCCTATAAACCCAACCCTAAACCCCATGGTCTTTTTGTATAGCCTTTTTCTTGTAAGCCCTGAATTCGAGCATCGTCCATCAACCCACTAAATACTCTCAACCCACTTAGGAAACACTGATGATGTACATGATCCCTACACCAGAGCACCCTAAGCCTAAAACCCTAACCCCCAGCTGCCCTAACCCGCAGGTACCCTCAACCCTAAACCCTGCACCCTAAACCCTACACCCTAAATACCCTTCCCCAAAGTACCCGAAATACCCCGAACAACCTAAAGACCCCGAACCCGAATTAAATACCCCAAATACCCTAAATATACCCCAGACTCTAGACAACAAACACCCAAAATACCCTTAGTACCCTAAACTCTAAGTTCCTTACACCCTAAACCCTACACCCTAAACCCTAAATCCCAAGGTAGGTGTCATGACCACCAGGGGTACCAATCCCTAAGCCCGAAACCCTAAACCCTAAATTACCCTAAACCCCAAACCCTAAACCCCAAACCCTGAAACCCTACCAGGAGTACCAACGGAGGGCTGCTCCTGGGCTCGGTGATTTTCATCGGCTTGGGTATTGGACTCGAGGTGCGGTTGAAGGTAGGTTTAGGGTTTAGGGTTTAGGGTTTAGGGTTTAGGGTTTAGGGTTTAGGGTTTAGGGTTTAGGGTTTAGGGTTTAGGGTTTAGGGTTTAGGGTTTAGGGTGAGGGGGGTTGGGGGTTTGTAGGGGTTTAGGGGTTCAGGGTTCAGTGGGCTCCTCAAGGTTTTTCAATTGCTCTTTGCTGCGCTTCTTGCAGGATGGGTCGGGGTTTAGGGTTTAGGGTTTTGAGGTTAGGGTTTAGGGTTTAGGGCTTTACTTTTGAGGTGTAGGTTTAGGGTTTAGGGTTCTGAGGTTAGGGTTTAGGTTTACTATAGGGCTTTAACATATACTTTTGCGGCGTGCCATGTCGAGATGGACCCCTTGGGGTTCCTAGATGGATGACTGGAGAATTCTGGGGGTGTTGTAAGGGGCGCTGGTTCATGACATCTGTCCCCAAACGAACCATCTAAGCGTCTTCCCATTGTAGTAAGGAGTTCCCTTCTATGGGGCTCTTTGTCGCACGGTCCATCTTGAGAGGGCCTTTTAGAACGACCCCGCACCGTCAAGCCGAAACTCCATCTCCCCCCATGCTCTTGTGCTGCTCGCTCCCTCTGCACGTCGCTCTAAACCCTAAACCCTAAACCCTAAATGGTGCAGAAATTCCTGGAGCTCTTCCTAGACTGGACCAAGGCTCTCTGTGCATCGGGGGGGCGGTTTGGGAGTCGACCTCGCCCGAAATTTCAGCGTCCTTTCGGGAGGGACGCTCGGGAACGTGAAGGCGTGCTCTTAAACCTGGGATGAACCCGACCCCATCCAGCTGTTGGCTGAAGTTGCCAGGTTGAGGTTTAGTACTGGTTGAGGGTGTTTAGGACTGCAACGGGGTTCTTAGGTGTTTCAGGGCTCAAGAGTTTCGGGTTGAAGGGTTTCGGGGCTTGATGGCCTTCAGCCCCGTGAGCCCTAAAACCCGACCCCCCAACTCTAGCTCAGCTCCACATCGCAAGAGGTTGAGGGGAAATTAGTGCAGGCTTTTTGCTAGCTTGGGAGTGGAGCATGCATCTACATACGAACTCATTGTATAATGTATATATATATATGTACATACACATACTGGCGCAGGGCATGGGGTTTAGGGTATCATTGCCGGTTTTGGAGGTACAGCTTGCAATTGCCAGCTGCAGTGCGTGAATTTGCAGGGCTTGGGGGTGCCGGTAAGGTTGAGGATGTCGGGCATGTTTGGGTTCAGGAACCTTTAGGGTTTAGGGTTTGGGGTTTAGGGTTTAGGGTTTAGGGTTTTGGGTATCGGGCATACTCGCCGAAGCAAGGTTTGGCAGAACAGCGTGCGACACTTGAACTTGGTGGGGTGGTTGGGCCCGCAATGGTTAGGGTTTGGGGGCTTAGTTCTATGTGTGTGTGTGTCAAGCCCCATAGTCCCTAAATAAAGTCGATATGGTCAGTTCTCTACATTGTTTAAAGGGCCGCCTTGCAATAGTAACCCCAAGAAGGGGCCATGACTTAGAGAAGTGACCATACGTCTCTTGCACAGGCTGGCATGGCCATCACCTTCATGTACTCGCCCGGGCCTTGCGGTTTAGGGTTTAGAGGTTCCCTCAGCCCTCAAGCCCGAAAAAAACACGCAAGTCCTCAATCTTCAGCGGGAAACTCCGGATCCGAAGGGAGACGCATGCTTGCCTCCACTGCCTTAGACTTAGTAGTAGAGTAGGTAACCTTGAACCTTTTTTTGGGAACTCTAATCCCAATAGAATCCCAAAGGTTAACCTTTAATTCCCCCAGGTTACCGGACAACTAAGGAGACAACAAGCCCTAAACAACTTAAGTGCCAGAAAACCCTCCTCGCCGAGGGCCGGCCTCATCATCTGGCTCTCCCAGTGCCCTTGGGGTGTGGGGTTTAGGGTTTACGGTTTGGGGTTTGGGGTTTGGGGTTTAGGGTTTAGGGTTTAGGGTCTCGCCAGCTTAGCTTGAAACCAGTCTTTAAGCCACCCTGAGGCCCACCCTGTCCCTAACTCTTGCACCTAAACCCTAAACCCTAAACCCTAAACCCTAAACCCTAAACCTTAAACCCTAAACCCTAAACCCTAACCCAACCCCAGAGCTGACTCCCGTACAAAAATCAGCTTTCTGGCAGCCTTGCTTTTTGACTGCTCTGGGTTCGGATATCTTGCACCCCGCCAACCACTTGAGCTCGAACTGCGCAGTTTGGATCTACTCTGAAGGGTTTAGGGTTTAGGGTTCAAAGTGTAGGGTTTGGGGTTTGGGGTTTGGGGTTGAGGGTTTAGGGGAATATATATTGAGCGTCTTGGGGTTTCGGCGGTGGTGCGTGGCTGCCTGTGCTCGTTTTTTTTCGTTCGGAGCGACTATTTCAACGCCAGGCCGGCAGAACCCCAACCCGAAGCCTTAAAGCTACCTAAGCCCGACACCGAGGATTGAATGTGCGGCCCGGCTTGGTCAAGAAAGCCATCCCTAAACCCGAAACCCTAAATCCTAAATCCTAAACCCTAAGCCCTAAGCCCTAAACCCTAAACCCTAAACGCCATCACTGCCTTGTGGCTGCAGCAGATTTAGGCAACGATCAGCCTCTTCGATCCAGAACCAGAATATCCCACGAGCCGGCCCCTAAACCCTACAAACCCTACAAACCCTACAAACCCTACAAACCCTACAAACCCTACAAATAAACCCTACAAATAAACCGTACAAACCCTCTAAACCCTGTTAGGCCCTCTAAACCCGATACACCCTATAAAAAAACCTCTTGAACCCTGTATGCCCTATAAACCCTATGAGCCCTATATACCCTATAAACCCTATAAACCCTATAAACCCTATAAACCCTATAAGCCCTATAAACACTATAAACCCCATAAACCCTATAAACACCAAACCCAATGCTTTTTGGAAGCCTCAGGGCCCTTTCACTGAAGCTACGGGCCCGAAGCGATAAAGTTCTCCTGGCTCCGAAGTGAAACCTTCAATTGCCCTGGTACCTAGCAAAAGGCCACAGCTTCAAAAACCCAAAACCGCCCCAAACTCCCAAACCCTAAGCTCTAAATCCCTGATGAGATGAAACCGTTTCTGAAAGATCGCCATGAGTAAGCGCCATGGCTCGCACACCTCATGACTCGCGTGCCTCTCAGCCCAGGGTTTTGGGGGTGGTTTCGGGTGTAGGGTTTGGCTGGTTGGCGTATCGGGTGGCATGGGTTTAGGGTTTGGAGTTTCGGGGTTCTGAGGTTGCGATTGTTACGGGAGTTGGGCGCGCATTCGAGCTAAGAGGTGCACGCGAGGAAGTGCGATTACGAAGTGGCCATGTTGCTATCCGGAATTCAGGTCACGACATAGGTCTTCCGTATGTTCCCTGATCAAATATTCTGTACGAATTTCCCATATGAGGGTTTCCGAAAAAAGGGGGTCTCCTTTTGGGGGGGGGGGGAGTCTTTTAAGGGGACTCTATTCTACTTGGGGTATAAAAAGTACACCCCTAATTTGGATTTGGGAAATGCCCATACTAGTTCAGTGGCGGTGGCACGTTCACGGTCGTAGGTGGGCCGCAAGTGCCATGGTATTTGCAAGCAATCCCTTGCCCTTTGGGGACCGCCGCTTTGAGACATGACCCAGCTACAAGAGGGGGAGACAGAGAGAGAGAGAGAGAGAGAGAGAGAGAGAACAACATTAACTAAAAATGTTCGGAAAGGAAGAACGAGCTCACGAATCAAGCAAAGAAGAAAGAAATGAAGAAGGAGTGAACGAACCAAATAAAAGACGAAAGAGAGACGTAAGGACAGAAAGCGATACAGACAGACGAGACCAAGACGTACAGCGAACGTAAACCACACCACTCCCTAGACTCCTAGACTGCACAACCCCAGCCCTAAAACCCCCAAGCCCAAAGCCTAAATCCAAGCCCTCAGCCCTAAAGCCCTAAAGCCCTAAAGCCCTAAAGCCCTAAAGCCCTAAAGCCCTAAAGCCCCAAAGCCTTAAAGCCCTAAAGCCGTAAAGCCCAAAACCCTGCACCCTAACACCCTCCGACGCTCAGGTTCCCAACGGGCCTAATTTGGGACCTGTTGCCCAGGAGGCCCGTTCTGGGACTCTTAGGCTTTAATAGGGCTTAGGCTTAGGCTTTCACAGGGTTTAGGGCTAAAGGTTTAGGGTTTAGGGCTAAAGGGTGGAGGATTATCCAGGTTTGGGGTGTTCAGAGAGTTTTCGGAACTGGATGTACAGGGCCTAAGGGTTGAGGGCGTAAGGGTTCAAGGTCTAGGGTGCAGGGCGAGAGGTTGTACTGCAGGGTATGGTTTGTTAAGGTCAGGTGCGGCCCGCTTCGGTTTTTCGTTGGGCATCCCGGTTAACCGGCATGTGAGGCTTGGGGCTTAGGATTTCAGGGTCGGTCCGAAGGTGGACGAAGAGAAGGAGCTTGGGGTTGCCAGCCCGCTCGTATGAGTTGGGCCTACCGGGGTGGAGGCTTTGGGGGTCTTGGAGCCCTAAACCCTCAGCCCGAGGCCCGAAACGCAGGGTTTGAGAGATGTCAAGGGCGGTAGAGAAAACCCCCAAGCCAAACCCCCAAACCAAAAACTCAAAAACCCTAAACCCTAAACCGTAAACCTAAACCCTAAACCCTGAACCCTAAACCCTAAACCCTAAACCCTGAATCCTGAACCCTGAACCCTGAACCCTGAACCCTAAACCCTAAACCCCAAACCCTAAACCCTAAACCTGGGCACCTGCGTTGAGGTTCATTGAGGTGCTGCCCACCATGAAGCAGGTGATCGCCGGCGGTCTGGCCGCGGTCCTCGGAGCTGTCAGCCGGTACAGGGTCTGGGGGTTGAGACCCTAAACCCTAAACCCTAAGCCCTAAACCCTAAGCCCTAAACCCTAAGCCCTAAGCCCTAAGCCCTAAACCCTAAGCCCTAAGCCCCAGACCCTAGACCCCAGACCCTAGACCCCAGCCCCTAAACCCTAAACCCGAAAGGGCTGTAGGGTTCAGGGCTTCAGGGTTCAAGGCTCTAAGGGAGCTCTTCAGAGCTGCAAGAATGTCCAGGACGGCATGATGCCAGGGTTTGAGGGTGGCTTTGGGGATAAGAGGTGCAGGGTGAGGGTTTTGACTTTAGGGCTTCCGGGCTTTAGGGCTTGGTGTTTGCGGGGCTTAGGATTCAGGTTCTCCTAGGAACGCCGCTTTTGCTTTCACCTTGTGAAGGCCTGCAGCGCTGCAGTGCTTTCGCTTCAGCTTATCCCTTCCTCAGGCGGGCTGCGTCGCGAAGACCGCCGTCGCCCCGCTCAGCCGTGTGACGGTGCTGATGCAGGCGAGAGGGCTGACGGGCTTCGGGTTAAGCTAGAGACCAACCCCAAAGCCTCGCGCATTGACTCGCAACATCTAAGCTATTGGCCTGATTTGGGGATCGAAAAATGGACCTTCGCAAGAGTCAGACCCCCATTTTACCCCTAAAAGGCTCAATTCCAGCACCCCAAAGACCTCGAGGTGAGGCCGCCTTGGACTCCACATTCCCAAGCAAAGCCAAGCCCGCCTAGACTAGACCTGAACATCCTGAACAAGGTTCAGGTTTTGGGACTTATAGGGTCTAGCGTTTCAGGGCCACTGCACTGACTGGCCAAAGGTACAGTCGATGCGGCCCCACAAGTTCACGGACGGCAAGACCCCGAACAACCAGCCGGCGGCCCTGTTTGGCATAGGGTTTGCTCCCAAATGAACGCTACAATTCGGATCTTAAACCCTGCACTACTATAATCACTTTCAGGAATATGGACCATGTGCCCAGCTGTGAAACCCAACAGCCAGCAAGAAAAAGACTATCTACTACCAATGAGGAAAAGTTCGCATGAGGCGGCGTAGGAGCGCGACCGAGTTGACCGGGAGCATGCCTATATGGAACCCACTCAGAGACTTAGTGGGTAGGGTTATAATTTGGGCAACTACAGTTACAATTACTGATAGCCCCAATTAGCCTGTGTGCGACAGAAGCCCAACCATTCGGCTGTTGGGACCAAACCTTTTAGGGTTTATGTCGTTCCCAAAATAGGGGTTCAGTACAGTACATGTACCCCTGAAGCAAGTGCAGCCCGAGGCCAAGTCTGCCAGACTCGCTTTGGCCCCAAACCCTACACCCTTATAAGCCCTAAACCCTAAGCCCTAAACCCGGAAAGCCAACGGCAAGGTTTCTCGTGCCAAGTTTGAGGCCGGATCGGTATTTGAAGGTCCATGGGTATGTTTTTCGAAGGTAGGGTTGCAGGTGATACGCGGGCCTCTTTCCTTTGCATGGTATTTGGGGCAGTTTATTTTGCACCATTCAGGGAAGGATGTTGGTGTCCGTTTCCGATCTTTAGTTCTTTTCTTTCCGTTTTGCTGGTTTTCGAAGGGAGTTATCAGAGTTGTTGTTTTTTTTGGGAAGGGGGGGGGACTTGAGGGATTTGGGGTCAAGCCCTTCCAGCATGTGAGAGCTTGGGTTGCAAGGTTTCGGCCTCGGGTTGAGAGGAAGTGGTCTCGGCGGTGTTGCGCATGAGATCGGCTCAGGGCTGGCGAATTCTTGCAAAGGGACTCTTCGTTTACCTTATATTCCGTCAGGGAAGGGCTCTAGCCCAACTTAACTATTCGGTCCCTGGCATTGCAGGATTAGGGGGGTTTGGTTGTGTAAGGTTTTTCAGGGCCAACATACTTCTATTGAGTCCATGCAGCACACATTGGAGCAAGATGTTTGGGGGACTGGCCCAGCACCTTGTCAGAGGCGACAGTCGCAACTCATGCCGGCCACGAAATGTTCCCTAAACCCTAAACCCTAAACCCTAAGCCTTAAACCCGAAACCCTCTGTAGCTGCTGGCCCAACTTGGCCCTCCTCCAATCTTCAACCAGTACAACTTACAACTCCTGAAAATCCCGTCGTGCTCCCGACAAGGCCTACTATTTGCTGAAGAACCCCCCCCAAATTGAAAATATTCTTCCTTATAAGGGTAATATAGGGATTATTTTGTTTTATTCCTGGGGAGGTTCTTAAGCAAATCGTAGAAGTCTGGCAACAAGAGGAAGATCTACTTCGAGGAGGGCCTCACGGGCTTCTGGCGAGGGAGTCCTGGCACAACTGGCGAGTCTGGAGCCAAAAGGGGGTTGACCAAAATCTGTTGCCGCTGCTGCGTGCCTATTTCAGGGGCTCGTTTGCCAACAGTGAACCTCGATGTTCCTAGAGACCCCAGTAGGCCCAAACTTGCGTTCGACGTAGGACGTAGGTTTATAGGGCTCAGGGTTTAGGGCCAGTCACTCCCTCAGAGTACCTCGGATGTGCAAACCCTCAAGCTCCCTCCCTAAGCTTTATATATAAAACCTTTCACTTGAAATCTAAAAGCTTGAGCCCGAAGCTCTAGAAGGCTAGTAAGGGCCTAAACGCCCGAAAGCTTCCGGGCTCCAACCTCCGTTCCAAGCCTTAGATTCTCAAGCCTCTCGTCTTTGCCAAAGCTTTGTTCCCGAAGCACCGTTGGTGCCGAGGAATGCCGCTACGTGCATCCACCGCTTTCCCTACACTGCTGCCTTTCGGCTGTGATTCCCGCGGTTTCGGGGGTACTGGGTCTTCAAATTACACACGGCTTCAGTGGCTGAGAGATTTTTGATCCCATGCTGGTGTGAAATGTTGCTTGCTTGCATGGGATGTTTCTCAAAGTCTTGAAAGCCTGCGGTGCTAGGGCCTTAGAGTTTATGGTACAGAGTTTAATGTAATCCGGGGCTCTAGGCTTATCAGAGCACCCTGACTAGGAGCAGTCCCTCTACACTGTTCCGTGGTGTTGCTTGAATCATGGCCCATTGACTTGGGGCTTAGTATAGCTAGATGACACTCTGACAGTTAGGATACCACAAGTGCAGCCCGCTCACGGTTTGGGGTTGTGGCTGCCCGTAGGTGAGATTGCGCACTGCGCTGGACGGTCGCCTTACCAACCCCCAAATTTGTACAAATAAATGGATATACGTAAATAAAAAAATATATATATATGTATATATGTATATGTACATATGAAAAGACATATATGTATATACATATATGTAGACACATGCAACTCTCCACGAACTGTAAGTAAGCCTGGAGCACTCCGCGCCAAGATTACTTTCTACACCAACGCCCGGGCCCTGGGAGCCCCGGGAGGGATCTTTTTGGACCCTAAGCTCGAAAGGCCGAAGCCTCCTAAACCCTAAACCTTCAACCCTACAAAATAATGATCCCTATATTGCCCTTGTAAGGTTTTTTTTTTTGTTTGGGGGGGGGGGTTCTTAAGCAAATAGTAGAAACCTAAATCCTAAACCCTTTTGGAATCATGGGTTCAGAGTTCGGAGTTTTGGGTTTTTCGGCTTTTCGGCTTTCCAGCTAGGGGCTTTGAGGTCCTTCAACTGGCCAATCTTTGGGTTTAAGGTCTTAGTGACTTAGTGGATCCCGCCCCCACATGCCCTCGCCCCCATGTATGCCTTAAGCCCGGCTGGAAAGTTCCGGGATCAGGGGTCCAGGCTTGCAGTTGCGGTGACACGTTGTATGGTTTGCGGATTACAGGTTTTAAAGTCTGGGGAGGAAGGTCGATCCCTAAGCGTGACCAACTACTTGCAGACGATAGAATTTCAAGCCACTTGCTAAAGCAATGGATAAATACCGAGGGCTGATGACATGTTCGGGCTTTTTGAATTTATAGGGTTCGGGGTTGCAGGTTTATAATGTTCGGGGTTTTGCGCTTCGGGGGGGGGGGGGGGGTGAGGGGTTTTGGCCCCTTAGGGTGTGACCCGAAGGCCAGCTCGGAAGGAGATGATCAGATGCGGCTTGTTCTAGAGCGTGGGCGTTCCTGGTATCCTCCGCTACCAGAGGCAGTTCAGATTCATAACGCTAAGCTCTATATATCCAACTGAGCCGAAACCTTAAACCCATGAGAACTCAAACCCTATACCCTGAACCCTATACACCCCAGACCCTAAACCCTAAAGGCCCTGGTGCGGGAGCGGCTCCTCCAAAGCGACACTGCCTCCCGGCTCCCAGACCAGGCTCCGTCTCTTCGAAAAAATTTAGAATGGTTATTGAGGGTTCTTGAGGGGTTCTGGAGGGTTTTCGTGAGGCTTTTGAGGGCTTGTGAGGGTTTGTGAGGGTTTTTAATAAGGGTTTTGAGGGTTTTGGGGGTTTGCAGGGTTCAGGGTTTAGGGCTGGTTGGATTTCTTGGAGCAGAGGGCTTCCGAGTTCAGGGAGGGCTTAGGGCGTGCAGGGTTTTCGGGCTTGTGTGTTCAGGGCGTCGATGTCTCAGGGTTTGGAAGGGTCTGTTGAGCTAAGGCTCAGGGCTGGCCTTGGGGCCTCTGGGGGTTCAGGGTGTTAGAGCGTTAGCGGGCTTAGGGTTTTAGGGTTTCTTGGGCGGTTTGGGGTTTAGGGTTTCCGGGCTCAGGCTGCATTTTGGGGGTGTTTTTAGTGTTTTTGAGCCTGGGGGTTCGGGGTTGTTGGCGCCCCCAGAGAATCCTGCAGCAGCACCCCTCGGAAAGCTCATCCGATCATCTCTGGGGTGCCCAGCCCCGAGAACCCTACAGAGAAGAACGATTCCAGCGAGCATCGCTGGTGTGGCTGGAGTGACGCCCAGAGTATCACTTCCTCAACCCAAACGCTACCAGCAAACCCTATGACCTTACTACTCTTTTCCCTGAAGCCCCTACACTCCCTTATAAGCCCCAGGCCGCCTTTAACCACTAATCTCTAAAGCTTGAGCCTAGAACCCTTAAAGTGCCAGACACGACACCTCCTAGCTGGGGGCTGTGCTGCCTGTGCGGCGGCCCCGTGGCAGCCGCAAGTAGGGTTTGGGGACTTTGGCATGGCTTTTTAGGGTTTAGGGTTTTGGGTTTAGGGCTTCGGGAGGGAGGAGGATCCACGCACGTACGTGAGGGGTTCAGGGTTTAGGAGTTTAGGGCGTAGGCTCACGACCACAAGATGGGCTAAGGTGCTTTCCAGGGCTGGGTCCCGACGGATGTGGTATAGAGCTCTTCGCCCCAATGCTTTCACGGTATGAGATGGAGGCCTACTAAAATTCACCGCATGTGAAGAATGTAAAATATGACTGACAAGGGCAGTAGCAATTAGTAATACAAAGCAGGCAGAATCTGTTTAATGCTTTCTGTGGGCTTTTGTTTTCATTTGCGGGAAAGACAGTGAAGCTGTAGCTCGGCTGCGAAAACTTTTCAAATATCTTCGGGATTTGGGGTCTGAGGCTGGCTGCAGTTGAGTTACGCAACTAATCCCATCCTTGCCCAGCTCAGTTCGAAGACATCAACCCCGAACAACTGAGGTGTGCACGCTGCACCCCCTGGATGTGATCAAGACTCGGCTTATGGCGCAGACGTGCCTTGCCTGCACGGATGGCCCTTTGTGCTAGCTGATAGTCCGGCTCGGGGTGGAGGTGGCCCTTGCAGAAGAAGGGCTTCGTAGTTGAACTGAGATGTATGGTCTCTTGGTCGACTTAGCACTTTTGCTTACAGAACATCTCGGAGCTCGGACGCAACGTGTTGCCACCATGTCACCGCTGCAAGAGGACCAGGAGTCCAACAATATCGCTTGCCTCTTCTACTTGTACTTGTGTGCATTTCGTTTTCTCACATTGTTTCTTGTACTTGAACTCTCATATCTTGTAGTTAATTATACTTGCACCTTTCTCATATACTTCGTTCTGAGCACTCAATACTTAATACTTCATGTTCCTGCCTACTGCGTGTGCTTGTACCTATACTTGCTCGTATCCTTCAAGCTGCAAGAGAACTAGTATCGCATTCCAGGT